TACTGTTCATTTGCCTGTCTACGACCGTAGTCTTCATAGAGTTGATCATCATCATCTGAATAACGTCTGTTGTTATTATTTTTGTTGTTCAACAGGCCACCAAGAAAGTTGGGCTCTTCTAGGTCCATCTTCTTACGCAAGTTTCCCAGCCAATTGTTGATATTGTCCTTGGTTTCCTGGAGACCCTTGGCAATGTTTTCTTTTATCTGGGGAAGGTCATCGTCAAAAAATGACCGCTCATCATCATCATATTGGTACTGTCTTCTCGTAGCACTGCCACGTCTGGGATAGTCATCTGGACCAGTATATTCAGGACCCAAACCAGTATCAGCGTATCTGACCCGTCTCTGGCCACCATTGCCAACGCGATCTTGCTCAGCCAGTAGTCTGGCAAGCCTCTCATCCTCTTCAATCTGAGACCTATCATTTCTAATCGTTGCTGCAGCAGAGGCATAAGCAGTTGCTCGTTGTTGTTGATTTGAGTTGAGACCACTAGTCGGCGTTCTGTATCTCGTCGGGTTCTGACTGTTTCTCAACACTCCCTTTGGGAGTGGAGGCGGGGGAGCTAATTGTGACACCTGTTTGTAGACAGATTCCTCGTCGAGCTTGTACTCAGGATCTGTAAGCGATAACAGGCCGTTGAACGCAGGATCAACCTGACCACTGGCTGCAATGAGCACTGCTCTAATCACGTTAGTTTCAATGGACGGAAAGGCTTCTGACAGTGTCAACTGAGACTTCTGAAACTCAGAAAGCGGTCTAGGGGGCTGAGGAGGAGGTTGTACCTCCTCAGAGTCCCGCTTAGAAACTTCATTATCAGGCTTTAATTCATTCTCGGTTTTTTCAATCTTCTCAGTGGTTTTTTCATTCGTGAGTTCTACCTTTTCAGTTTTCTCCTTTTTGTCAGGCTGCTCCTCCTGATCTTTTTCAGTCGTAGTTACCTCGTCCTCCTTGATGCTAGTATCAATGGTATACTCAGAGTCTTCAACTTCGTTCTTAGAATTCTCAGAAATTTTTCCTTTGGCCATTGTGTGTCAATTGTAATATAAATGGTGATTGAGTGATATTAAAAGAGCAATGGTTAGTGATAAGTCGTGGCAAAAGTATTGTTTTATTTATCTCCCCCCCGAAATCGTCGGTTTGTTCATGGGCTTAGCTACAGGTTAAAAATAAAACGGTGAAAGACAACAAATAATTATGTAATATGACGTACGCCCTAGCCCTCACAGTAGCTATGATACTTGTGTATATAACAGAACTGCATTTGTTTTCTTATTTACGTGAAAATTTTCTTCATTCAACTTTTCTTTCTTTTTTTCTTTTTCTTAAATTAATCAAGAAATCTCTGATAATTATGCTAGAGCCGGTTTCATTCATAACTTCGTTGAGTTTCACGGTGTAGAATCACGAGAGAAATTAATTTAACCTTACAAGGTGTTTGTTTATAGGCGATCATAGAAAACTTTGGTTTTTTTATAGGTACTTTATAACCTAACTATGGTACTATGGCAAAATACATAGTTTCTTATCAAAATCTCTCTAAGAAAAATTTAATAGTAGCTACTCATTGCAGTGACTATTGCGCTAAGCTACACCCTATATCAAATGTTTATTAAATTTTGGAATTTGTGACAAATCGTGTTTCGAAATCATAAACGGGGGATCGTAGAAGGCTTCTATTCAGACTGTTGGTCAGAAAATTAAGATACATAAGTGCTTTTCTTTAGAAAGGAAAAACCAATAAATAAAACACAATTGAATTGCAAGCATAAATAAAAGTATGATACTCTGATTTAGAAAAAAGATACAAAAGAAAATTGTCGTTCCAGAGTGTTGTGATCTTGCTCCATCCTTCTAAAAGCTCCAAGACAAGAAAAATTACTCATGACCGAGCTATCTCCAACCAGTTTCAAAAATCGTTTTTCCGTGGCTGTACCTTATTTATTTAGAATTTCCAATTACATTTGCTAACTTGCTGCGAATTATAGAATTAATTTTCTACGTCTCAAAACAAAGATAATAAAAAAAAGTGAGTAGTTATAAATGCTTATTCCTTGATATTGTTAATGCTGAGCCTGTCTATTCTTGAAGAAATTCCCAAAATACAATTCTTCATGAAATATTACATGTATTTCAATAAATCAAATCAAAAAATTGCTTAGTTTTTAATGCACGTCTAGAACAAACACATTTTACGCGTCTCAAAAAAGAATTATTACATTTTAAATAACTTGATTTTGAAGGTAATCAAGAAGTGTTTCCAATGACACCTATCTCTCAATGCAAGTATTCATCTTTTTTTTTGCTTCGTATTTGCATTGACCAAAACGTTGACCAATTAACAAAATGGAATAAGGAATCTATTTGCTGAAAATAATATTTTTTTCATGCGGTATCTATATTAATCTCATAGTGTCACAATTTTTCAATTTCTCATTTAATATATGACAAAATGATTCAACACCACACACAGGATTTATTATTTTATATCACGAACAAATTTTCAAATATCTAAAAACAATCAAGTCGTTAAAAGTTTCAAAAAAATGCGTTAGCCCGGAGTCGAACCGGGGGCTCGACGATGGCAACGTCGAATTTTACCGCTAAACCACTAAC